GAAGTTTATTCCAACGAAGAGACTGCAGGCAGAGATTCTATTAATTGATGCGCTGGAAACTATTCAGGAACTGAGGCCAGGAATTGTATTATATAGACACGTTACATCTGAAGAAGCCCTGAGCCTGAGTTTGAGATTCTGAATCAAGGTTGTCCCTTCTAATGATGAACCGAGGACAAAAAATCCACTTAACGATTCGGAAGTCTAGGAGATCGCATAAAACGATTTTCTTAAAGAAATCTACCCAAGACATTATGTCGGAGAATATATTCTTTCTATTGACTTGCTGAGCCTGGGCCAAAGAGTCGGTCTATGACATTTATAAAAAAATGAAGCCAAGGAGCCCATATGTTAACGATTCGGAAGTCTAGGAGATCGCATAAAAAGACTCTTTTTTTAAAGGAATCTACCCAAGACATTATGTCGGAGAATATATTCTTTCTATTGACTTGCTGAGTCTGGGCCAAAGAGTCGGTCTATAACATTTATAAAAAAAAATGAAGCCAAGGAGCCCATATGAGGCCGTCCTGAAGTCAGGGTGTCTGTCAAATGATATGCTGACGTTGGAGAGTCTTATAAATAAATCGAAGCTATACTATTGACCTGCTGAGTCGCAGGTAGTGTATTTGAAGGTGCAGTGAAGACAGGTAGATTGTTTATTACAACGCTGAATAAAAGGAATATCTTTAATAGGCGTTAAAGTGAAAATGAAGGTATTTTTTACTTGATTATCGAAGCCCAGAAAGTCCAAGACATAGATGAGGATATCAGCTCATCTTTAGAATATCGCAGATCATCAGAGTGTCTCCTGAAAAATAAGGGAAGAAGTAAACTACAAATTAAAGCTGCACTGATCAGAGACTTTGGCGTATCAAAAGACATATTCTATGAACTCAGTTCATCTTTAAAATATTTTATCCTACATCAGCGCTTAAATAGATAAACTACCTGGCCTTGACGCAGAACTACATCGGATTATTTCCTTTATTATGAACCTTGGGAGTTTGATGAGCATGCCTTCAATGGTCATGTGTAATGGTCTCGTACTCAGGGCTCAGTTCATCTTTAAAAGAAACTACCTGACATCAGCGGTTCAATAGATAAACTACCTGACCTTAGCGCAGAACTACTTGGGCTCATTTCCTTTATTATTAACCTTGGACGTATGATCCAAGCATACCTGCCTTCAATGCTCCAGTGTAATGGTTCTCCTACTCAGGGTCTTAATAGACAAACAATATGGCTGACTCCCAAGACATTTATCGTGTAGTTTCCTACAAAACATAATGAAAATCTTGATATGATATCTTCAGCGTATTGATAGGTATACTCCTTGGATTAAGAACTCATCCAAATGGCCTTCTCTAGACGCATTCCATTTAAAAAAACACACAGGCTTCAGTGTATCAATAGACATATTATATGCCTATGACTTTGTTCATCTTTAAAAGAGACTACCTGACATCAACGGTTCAATAGATAAACTACCTGACCTTGGCGCAGAACTACCTCGGCTCAGTTCCTTTATTATGAACCATGGGAGTCAAAAGTAGACTCCCTGGACCCATTACACTCCCTGTTTTCAGTGCATCTTTAGATGAAAATGACTATCTGGGCTCCGCGCCTCAAAGTCACATTAGTTTAAGTGAACTTGAAAAGAACCCGGAAACCTGAAGACTGACTTACTCATCTTAGGTTTAGCTTAATTGTTTTTGCATTTTTAGATTAACTCCTTGGGCCCTGATCGTTTATAAAAACTAAGGTGTTAGTATCTCATTGGCTTTGGCTAATTTTAAAACATACAATACCTTTTCTCAGCGCCTCATACCTCTGACTCTCAATTGACATATTACCTGACTCCTGTACATCTTTAGATGGACTACCTGGATTTAGTTCGTACATAAAAATGCGTCCCTTCCTTTAGGGTCCCAACAAACCCACATATTGGTTTATACAAAGAGATTATCGGTCATCAGCGGTTCAATAGGTAAACTACTTTAGCGCAGTTCCTTTATTATGAAACTTGGGAGTTTGATCCATACATATCTGGCTTCAATGCTCCTGTGTAATGGTTCTCCAGCTGGCAGTCTGTCCATAAAATGAAATTCTTTAGTTTATCACACCCCTCCCATATATATCCTCATTCTGATAACTGAAACTCTCCTATTCGTTATTTATATGTGGATAGCTGTTATTTTCTACAGGGGGCTCACTACCTCGTGATTGCAGCCCGTCTATGAAATGATATCAGGTAGTTTTTTTTACTGATCAACTGATCCCATGTAGCTTATCTAAATGTGTACTATAGTCAGGATGTTCCTTGAAAAGATGAAACAAATTCCAGTAGGTCCTGTCGTTTATGGCACTGGATGCGAACGCCTATTTAGTATATGCGCTGGTTGAGCTCACGTAATGTTTCTGTGGAGTTGCCGACGCCGGGATTCTTCCTGTTGAGAATAGGCTGTCTTACCTTTATAGATAATTTTACCTCTGTGCGCCTTTTGGAAGGGAAGGAGGAGGGGAAGAGAACAAATTTGAGCTAGTGGCGGTGGTTTTGTAATGTAGGACTCTGAAGCCCCAACACAAAATTTCATCCATCTAAAAATGAGCTGACTTCAGGATGTTCGGTATTTGATGGTAGCAGGTAGTCCTTGATTGAATCGTTCACAGGTATCCATCCATTCGTAGGTAGTCTTTTTACCGAGTTGGTGAGGACAGGTAGAAGTTCTGAAACCAGACCTTCATTTGAGACGCTGAAGCAGGTAAATGTTCTCTATAGATGTATTGAATCTATATTTTAAAGAGGAACTATATCACTGTAGTATTTCCATACCTCCTATCCAATGAGACGCTAAGGTTAGAGAGGATCTTATATGTATGATATTAGCGAGGTGCAGAAGCCATATAGTTTACCAATAAAAGCGTTGATATCGGGATGTTTATCTTTATCTATTATATAATTTGGCCTCCGTGATTCCTTTGAAAGAGGAGGGTAGGAGGAATAGAGGAAAAAGGAGGAGCTAGTGTCAGGAGGTTGGTAATGTGGGACTCTGAAGTCCCAACACAAAATTACATACATGACCTGAGTCTATCTTTTGAGACTATGGAACTTCTTCTATCTTCGAAAGATAGATTGACCATAGAAAATGTTCTGCCTTTCAGACGACAATAACAGGTAGTCTCGTTTTTCGCTTAGAATTCATCAAAAAAGGGATTCATTTAAAAGATATGCTGATTTAGGTAGTCTCTGTTGCATATGAATCGATCACAGGTATCCATCAAATGGTATACCTGTGAACGAGATGGTGAGACCAGGTAATTAAGTCGCTAAAGTAAAAAGGTTGTTTTAAGATGATCTGACCCCTATGAGTACCTTCAAAAATGCACTGATGCTAGAAGGTCTCCTTCACGTGAAGAAGTTCTGAAGTCAGACCTTTACAACCAGTAAATCTTCTTTATGGAACTAAGCTCAAATAATAGTTTTAAATATTTACAAAAAATCAGGAGATATGTCTAATGAGGTTATTATTATACATTAAATCAGCCGATGTGGTCTGCCAATGGTCGGATGTCAAGGCATTCGTTGATATACCCTTACGGATCATACGATAAGAAATCTATCCATTAAAGCACAATAACTTAGAGGACAAATCAGGCTTGACTGAAGGCATGGAGACGATATACTTTTTGAAGATGGGATATCTATAGACGAATTAAAATCAATAGGCACTCTATCACTGATAAATATGTGAACCCGAGGGAGGCTACATATCAGACTCTCCGATATCAGGGTCGATCAGAAATTTTGGTAATTTATTCTCTAGTGAATCCATGGAGCCTTTAGAATGTAAGAGGTGAGATGAGTTTAGGTTAGGGAATCACTACAACTTGGTGGACCAATCTTTGGATGAGTTCCATAAACACTCTGGATTGAAGCCATAGATTATTGTAGTCTATCTACAGACTTGCTGCAAGGAGTATATATATGAAAATGCTAACATCGAGGAACTCATTCTGAAAATATGACACTTCACTTCATCAGTGATTTTTGTTTTTGTGAACCAACCGTGTCCTCTAACAACATTCGAGCATATCCCAGAGATTTATTTTCTAGATCCCAAGCTGATTTAAATCAAGGAATCTCCAGCTCTTACACATGGGAGAAACGAGTTCTATTGACACTATGGACTGAGTCAATCTATAGAAGCATTGATATCAGGACACATTCCTGAAGGTAGATCATTCGATACTCTATCGGTGATCATTTTTTTATATGTGAACCAAAGATCGGCCTCTATCCAGCAGTCTTTCTGGTTTCAAGAAGTCAAACATAATTCGAATGATTTATTTTCCAGATTTCCAGATTACGTACACCTATTGACCCTAATTCGTCTATAAATACCCTAACTTCAGGGATGTTTCCTGAGGTCAGAGCGGATAATATAATCTACGGTTGAAGTAGGAGAGTTTGATTTAAAGGCTAGTAGGGTTTTAACCTTTATTTCGTAACCATCCTTGATCTTCGTCAAATATTTAGTCTAAAGCCGAACATGTGATAAATAGGTATGTTATCACCTTAATTCCAATACCAACCCTCTTATGGACTTTCTTTGCCAAGAAAATTCCTCCGAACACCCAAGCAAATCAGCAGCAACAACAACAACAATTGACATTCGATTTGTATATAAATATTTATGACACGACACTAATGCCAATTTAATCAAACTAGAGCAAAAGTGTTTGCAATAATTTCTAGGTTTATGGGTAGTCGATACAGCAGCAGTCCAACGAAAAAAAAAAACAACAACAGCAACAACACTTCCCTTCCGAACATGCTGTGCCATGCCAAAAAGACAAGACAAATTTGCATTTATCTGTATTTACAATCTTTTACTTCTTCTTCTTTATTTTTTGTGTATTTCTAACAACAACTGCAACTAATGACCAAAAACATTTGTACATCTATTTCCCCTCCCTCTCTCTCCCTCTCTTCCTCACAGGTCTGCCTATGTACCCTGTGAAGCCCAAGGCTTGGATGCTGTCCAGCTGGCATTGGAACAAATCGACATAATCAGGCGCCTAACAGACATGTATCATCAGGATACGGTGTTGGTGCAGTCATCCAAAGACATACAAATGGCCCAGAGGCAGGGGCTAATCTCATCACTGATTGGTATTGAGGGTGGTCATGCCATTGGCTCATCGTTGGGGGTGTTGCGCTCGTTCTATTCGCTGGGTGCTCGATATCTCAGTCTTACCCATAAATGTGATGTGTCATGGGCTGGATCAAGTTCGACAGCTATTGATGCGGGATTGTCGCAGTTCGGCAAGGCAATAATTCGTGAAATGAATCGTCTGGGTATGATGATTGATTTGTCGTATAGTTCGGATAACACGGCAAGGGATGTGCTATCCTCAACACGGGCTCCAGTGATTTTCTCCCATTCGGGCGCCAGGCAATTGTGTAACTCCACCCGCAATGTCCCCGATGATATATTGCGATTGGTGGCGGAAAATGGTGGCCTGATAATGATTAGCTTCGATTCGGAAGATGTGGCCTGTGGTAGGCAGTCACGCCTCAAAGATGTGGTGGATCACATAAAATACATACGCACCATTGCTGGAATACAACACATTGGTTTGGGCGCAGGATACGATAGCATTGAGCTGCCACCCATTGGCTTGGAAGATGTCTCAAAATACCCTGATCTCTTGGCCACCCTTCTCGAGGATCCCAATTGGAGTGAAGAGGACATTGCCATGTTGGCTGGTAAAAATTTCCTACGCATCATGGAAACAGTGGAGAATGTACGAGACTATTGGAAGCGGGCAGCAATACAACCCATTGAACAGACTGAACCCCAGCCAAAGAGTCAGTGTGCGTATATGGCATCGTGACCCCAGGCCCAAGCTGTGGTACGCAAGACACGTTATGCCGATTTTTGGCATCACACTCAAGACGAGCAGGATATCTACAATGAAACTCATCAAAATCCCACAAAAATACGCGAGGCGCCGGCAGCAACAGCTGGTGTTTCTCTTAAGGCTTTGCCATGGATGGCGGATGGAAGAGACTCGGTGGATGCAGAAACGAATAATCAAACGACAAAATCAACAATGACGGGCAGCGGTGTTGGTCAACAATTAGAGATATTGAAATTTAATTTCTAGATAGATGAAAACAAAAATCGAAAATCGAAAACAAATGTTGCTGGTTCGGTAATCACTTTGATTACATAGCTATATAGTTAAGATCATTACATGGTAATGTATGAGGTAATAAGAATATGTTTAGCATGTAAGTCTTTGATATGATGGAAATTCTTATAAGAATTGATAAAAAGAGTAAATATAAAATTGTCTCTAGCGAACGATAAGAGTTATTGGAAAATTATTTATTTGGAAAAAATTATAAAAAAATAATTTTTTTAATAAAAAATATTTTTTTCTAAAAATTTAAAAAAAAAACAAATATTTTTTTTTTTTTTTGAAAGCAAAAAATCATTCGAAATCTGTGATTTTCAAAATTTAAAAAAAAAAACACATTGAATATTACACATATTTTTTGTTCGTATATTAAAACTATTTTCAAGGATTAGAGGAAATTTTCAATATTTTTTAACCATTTTCAAAAAAAAAAAAAAAAAATCATTTTTGGTAATTTCAGGATTTCAATCGAATTCGAAGGTTCTCATTGGCCGCCAATCTTATTGGAAATTGCCAATATCGGTCCATAATGTTACCCATTATATTCGATATTCCACGATATCAGTCTGGTTTATCTATATCGAAATGATGCCAATTTTAAATGTTGGGTCCTCATTTGGGCATCAAATCCTTCTAGCAAGAATTATAAATATTTCTCAATCTTTGGGTATGGCCCCCCATATATCATTATAGTAATTTTGACAGTCCCACGCCCATTTCCCCTACAAGATGTGGTTATTTTGACATTCCGAGGTGTTGAAGGTGTAAAAAACATATCAACCGAAAATTGTCAATGTAAGTTCCAGTTTTAGTATAAGACTAATGTAATGGTACCTCCCCATTCTCAATATTTTTAAAGGAGCTGTAATATAGCATTCGGATTCATAACGGATTCTTGGGTGGTGAAAATCCTTTTTAAGTATTTCTTAAAGATTTTTTGGATATTAAAGATAGATCAAAGAATCTTTGTAAAATCCATATAAAAGGTCCGGCTACATTTTCGATATTTATAGGGGTTTGGCACTCCGAGTTCCAGGGTGGCTAAATAACTTATTTACCTTCTATGTTTAGTATTTATATGAATTTGGCATTCTAAGTTCCAGGGTGGCTAAACAACTTCTTGACCCTCCATTTTCAGTATTTATAAGGATTTGGCATTCTAAGCTTCAAGATGGCTAAACAACTTCTTTACATATCATTTCAAAAATATACCACAATGTGTCAATATGTTGCGTATACGTTATGACAACTGGTATACGCCTTATAGCCATAAAATTAATACTACGTATACGCTCGAGGGTTCCGAACAAAACGTAGATTTTCAAACCAACAGTGGAGTTCTTTTAAATATTTAAATATTTTTATAGACCTGTACAAGAAGTTGATTAAAAAAAAAAAGAAAATTATCCGAAACCTTTATATGGTGGCTATGTCAAAACATTGATCTACTTTATAGAAGTTCTGATACAGGCGTATGAACTACAGAGTAGTTTTGGAGCCCAAAATAAAATAATATATTACAATCAGTTGAGAAAACTGGCCAAGTAACTCCATCGTAACGTATATTAAGCGGGGCCATAGTGTTTAGGGCTTTTAAATATTATAGACCAATTTTAGGTCTAGGAAAATGTATTTTAAAGACATTTCGGTGGTAAAAAGCGGATGAAACCTTCAAAATGTCTAAAATGAGGTGGGTCATTCTAATGTGTGTTGAATCATAATACGAACCAATCTTCCGCAAGGATGATTTTCCACTCTACGAGAAAGCCAGAATGCCAAATTACAGCCCATTCAGTGCGGCTAAAACATTCAAAATACCGAGATTGTAGCGGGATCTAAAACATGGATTTATCCCAAAATGACAAGAGCTTGTCTTCCCCTTTAAGAACCTGGAATACCAAATTACAGTCCTTTCAGTTTACAAAATCATCGAAAATCTTCGAATTATCGAAAATAAGACAGGAACTTTATATGGAAGCTATGTCCGAACATTGACCTATATGATCATTTCCTGCATAAAAACCTTCAAGAATATTTCGACCTTATATCCCATGACAACACCGCTATTCACGTTATGATTATGTTTGTCAGAAGGTATATGTATCACACTACTACGACCCAGATCTGTCCAGAGGGCATTACTCTTGCCTACTCTTGAGTTTATGGCCATATTAGGCAAGCTCATAACAATCCATAATTGCTTGTGAGCAATCGAAATTTCTAGATGTTTCTCAAATATTAAAATGTTTATGATAGGATTTTGCTTCATTATAATAGAGAGAAGGGTTGAAAAATAATCACAAGAATATCGTTAATTTAATTTTGAGGTATTTATTTGCCAATTGGTTAATGGAGTCATAGTCCACGTATTTTCAATGCCTGCTCCTCTGTGACTATGAACTAGGACCTTACTTTTAACTTGGTTTGTATCTGATGAGAGGCTACTTAAAAATAAGAGGTCCACCATTTTTTTTTAATATTTCAGCCAAGATAATAATCCGTTCTCTTACATCAATGAATTTGACATCAGCTTAAAATCCAATCATCCTACATTCATACATAGGCAACATTTACGGGTCAGGTCTTCCCTCATAACATATACGCCACAATAAACAAACAATTTATCAGCTTTCATTCATATCTGTTGAACAATTTGGTCCCTGGTTATATATTGAACGTGACCGATGATCATTAAAATAGCCATGCTTGTTCGATGACCAGATACCCTTCACAATTTTATGATGTTCTGGTCATATCGAACGATTAGGAAAATTAACAAAAATAAGTGCCCACCTGGTCCATTTCATCCCCCAAATATCATCCGTTCTCCACCCAAAACTATAGATGTTGTTCTTGACTATGACCAAAAATTGCATAGCCATCAGTACAAACTTAGACAATATCAGAAAACATAGATCCCTTTAACTTTTACATATAACTTCCACATCCGAGTATATACATCACTGTAATTGGTATTAAAGGCTAACCACTCCTCCTGCAAATGCTGCCAAAATTTCAACCTCTTTCCGGAGTAAATAAATAGGCCAAAGATTGCAAATTTTGAAAATTTTCTGAGTCTTTTGACCCGCTGAATATTCACAGATCATCATCACAAAATACATGCTTTTTCCTTGAACAGATCCCCTTTCCCTTCTAAAATTTCGTGATGTCCACTTCATAATTATGTTTGGGCCATTCCATCCCCTAAATATAAACCAATCATTGTCCATATGGGTCTTAATTGTGCCACACCGAACATACTTGCAAAATTTCGTGTGGATTGTTCTATCATTGTGACCTGCATCGTGTTTAAAAATTAGAATGGACAGACTGTCGGCTACACATTTCTTGATCGACTCAGCTTGTCATTACCAAAGACATGCAAAATATCGTGGCGATTGGTCCATTACCGACACCTGTATCATGGTCCCAAATTATAATGGACATGTCTAGGTTGTCTCAGCTAGTCGAGATATGACCATCGGTATACTCAAAGGTGGGTCTAAGACCAATAATTCGCAACGTCACAACTTCTGGGGCCACACAACATAGTTGTGTTCTAAATACGAATATCCTTTTCTTGTCTTTGAGGATCCTATCTAAAATCGTATGAGCAAACTTTTTGTAGAGTATTTGGAGGTAAAAAAGATCGCGTCTTGTCGCTCTTGGTTTACGGTTAATGTAAATAAGAATGAAAATGATGCACAAGGACTGGAGATCGAAGGAGGATATGAATTACTAAAATATTCTGCATTCGATTTGACAACGGAAATGTCATCTCAAAAATAATCTGCAATAGCCGCAAATAATTATATAGCGGATTTTCTTTATGAACTTTAGAGTTACTACCAAAAAAAAATCATCACGGCATAACCTAAAAATGTGACGTATGGCGAATTTAAGGTATCATATGGTCGGCCCCGTCCGACTTTACTACTTTCCTTACTGGTTTTTAATTAGAGATTTCGAGTTCTCATTGAGTGGAAAACAATCGATATTGAAATACAAATTATATTGACTAACTTGTGTGTCCTTTTTTATTCTAAAATCCATATTCCTTGTTCAGGATTCTGTCTATATCTCCGAATAGATGATCTTAAGTAAAAATCGCCAGTGAAGCGTGAGATATGTTTTGAAATCAAATATTGATTATTTATTTTAAACCAAAAATTTCTTTGAATTCCAATTTAAATCAATTTATTGAAAAAAGAATCCAAAACAAAAACAATAAGGATGTTGTGGTGAAAAGTTACCCTAAAAGTTACCCTACCTCACATACACAATAAACATATATATATTCTAATATACATATGTATATATGTTTCAGGGCAAAAGGAAACAAAGTTAAAAATTTCCTCATTCTAATCCTAATTCTAATTTTATGTTCGTTCCAAAACCCTACTTAACATATTTTCCCCCTTCTCTAAAACTAACAAATTATTATTATACATTGTATACATTTTGTTAAATTTTTTTCTTCACAAAAACAACAAAAATGGAATTTTAATTTCTAGTTTAAAAATTATAAATACAAATATTTACAAAAATTGCAAAAAATAAGTATTTATGTTTGGTATGTATTATAGCAAACAAACATACACTCGATACACGTGAAACCCACTCACACACACACTGACACAAACTTATATATGTATATGTATGGCATTTTTAATAGTTATAAAATATATAAGCAAAAAAAACCCAATATTTATGTATTCATATAACAAAAGAAAAAAAAG